AAAAAATCTATTTTTCTACTTCGTGACAAACTGACTATTATTCTACTTAGACTTTTGTTGCTTGCAGATCCTCATACAAGGTTGGTATATTGGAAATCCTGCAGAGCCCAGCCTCTTCCCCTTCCAGCCCCATCCAGAGATGTGCCTGAAACAAAGGAACAGAAAACTATCTGAAAGCTAGGAATTTGAATTACAGCAAGTCAGGTGTTTTTTGTAGGTGATGGGATACAAAAAATTGCTCCTAAGGACAGTGGGAAGATGTTACATAACAAAATGTGACAGAGTTAAATTTGACTTTAATCATCTCCGAGGCGTGTTTTGGCTGATCGTTCGCTCTTGTGTGATGTCCTGATGTTTTCTGTTGTGTTCTGGGTGGCTCCCAGAGGAGGGGCAGGGAAGGCTGGAACAGAGCAGAGCTCCTGCTTTGCCTGCCCCTCTCCTCCCTTCCAGAGGCTCATTTGGGAGGAACTGAGCCCCAAAACCCTGATTAGCCCCGTTTCCAACCACCCTCCCCTGCCATTTGAACACCCTGATAATTCAGGTGGCAGAGAAGGAGCTGCAGGTTCACACACAGAGCCTGCCCAGGTGGGCTCCTTTCTGTGCCCCAGCAGTGCCAAGCAGGGCCTGTGTCTGCTTCCCTAGGCTCCTAAGGTGAGGAAGAGCAGAGGAACAGAAGAACAGTATGTGTTGTAGTTGTAGTTGTCCTAGGACTCCATTATACTACAAATCATCAACAATATACCATGCAGTGGTATATTTCAAGATTCAAGTTTTTTCCTCCGGCCCTACAGCAGTGTCAAATAAGTTCCAATAGATTTAAGGAAATTACTTACCTGATAAAATCAACAATCATTTAATAAAATAATTTGGGCAATTATTTAACTATATTTTTAAAATTTTTAAGTGAAGCACTAATGTACCTGGGTGGATTTTAATGCTCACTTGAATTTAGGGAATGAAAAATGTAATTTACTGAATTGCAGAATTTGGACACCTGCAAGGAGGTGACAATCCATAGATTAAAAATCTAAATAAAGGAGAGAGGAGGGGACCCTGAGGGAGGACAATTTCAAAATGGACCAGTGGAGGGAAGAGAGTATGAATGCATTGATGTTACAATATTTATTGTGCTGGGCACTCACCCATGTGTCAGGAAATCTTGCTGGCCAAAGCAATGGATGCTCCTGTGTCGGAGGATATTTAATACTCTCCTTGTTAGATTTGTTGTATATTGGTGATTTGTTAATAATGTACGGATGTAAGCCTGCGTCGTAGAGGGAGGACCCTGGTTACTCATTCTAGCATTAATTCTCCAATTTGGATATAGGTTAGCCTGTTAATGGGGAGGGAGTCATAAAGTTCTTATATTTTTGTAGTGTAGAGCTTTAACGCATTCTTTGTTGATGGCTGCTTGAGGCCCCACAGTGTAATTGGGAAATTAATATTTATCTGCTCATAGAGATTGTATTCTTTTTAGAGGAGCTGGCAAGAAATAAAGAGGCAAGAGAAGGGCTGGGCAGGAGGGGGAGCAGAAAGTGTTCCCAGGGATGGCTGTTGGAGGGAGGAGCAGCCTTAGCCCTTGCTGGTGTAATTCTGAAAATGTCCAGCTTTACAACGGCTGTAAAAACATAAAATAACCTTCAGAACATTCAGCATCATCTCTCACCTGCAGCTGTGGGGCAGCTTGGGAGAGGCTGGGAACCCCAGGACTGCTCCTGTGCCAGGTTTAAGGTCACATTGGATATTTCTGAATCTGGGGAGTGGATCAGAGCAGTCCTTGGGGCTCAGAGCAGTCCTTGGGGCTCAGCCCAGCCCAGGAACTGAGGGTCAGCTCAGGATAATTCTCCTGGGGTTGCCCGTGATTGTTGAGGCATGGCTGATACCAGGTTTGCTTTTTTCCCAGGAAAATGTTTAAAAAGCCGTGGTGCCCGTGGCCCTGTCCCTGCAGCACCAGGCCTGCTGTCCCCAGTGTCCCCATAGAGCCCCTGCCACCTCCTCAGCACCGACCGTGCTCTCCACATTGACTGCATCAGGCTGCTCCTATCGACGTTGTTAAGCTCAGGTGAGTGATAGATTTTTCTTTAATTTCTTTAATTTCCCAATAATCCCCTGGTTTTATGTTTTATTGGGTGTGCTGTGGGCTCTTTATGGGTGCCCAGAGGTGCTGCTGGATTTCCCCTGGAGCTCAGATCCTGCCTTGACTGTGACCGTGTTCACAGGGGTCCCAGGATGAGGGGAGAGATGAGGATCTGACTCCATGTTTCACGAGGCTGATTGATTATTTTATGATATATATTACATTAAAACTATACTAAAAGAATAGAAGAAAAGGTTTCATCAGAAGGCTGGATAAGAATAGAAAGAGAATGATAAAGGTTTGTGACTGACTAAGACAGTCCGAGCCAGCTGACTGTGATTGGCCATTAATTAGAAACAACCCCATGAGCCCAATCCCAGATGCACCTGTTGCATTCCACAGCATCCGATAACCATTGTTTGCATTTTGTTCCTGAGGCCTTTCAGCTTCTCAGGAGGAAAAACCCCAAGGAAAGGATTTTCCATAAAAGTTGTCTGCGACACTTGACAGGCGCTGCCTCCCCACCAGTGCTCCCAGTTTGCTGCTCCCTTTCTGGGGGGCTGCTCCCCAGTGCTGGGACCCTTCCCTGGCAGCAAGGGGCAGTGCCAGCCTGGCTCCAGCAGCACTGAGGGCACATTTACCCCAATGGATTGAGCACGGCTCGGGAAGGGAGGCGGCTGTCTCCAGACTCGCTGTCTGTGCCTTTCATCCACTCCTGACAGCAGTGATTGGAAATGAGAGGAATTGTTTCAGAACAAGCGCCTCTGACAGCTTGGCAGATTGATAGAGAGGTTTTCTGATTTCATCTCTTTTTTCTCTCCTGCCCTTGCCAGCTCTCCCCAGCAGCGGGGTGGTGGCTGAGGCGCTGAGCAGCCTGTCCTGCATGGCCACTGAAGCCTCATGGCATTTATTGGGGCTCTGCTTCTTCTCTCAGCATCCCCAAAGCTCTTTCAGCAGCACACGCCCCTGTATGAATTTCCTTTACCCTAGCAAGGTGTGAGCTGAGACCTGGGCGTGCTGGGTTTGTGGGAGCCAGAGCTGCCAGAGAATAGGCAGAATTCCCACTGTGTTTCCAGGTAAATGCTGTGTTCCTCTTCCCAGCTGTCATTGGCTTTCAGGAAACCCCACACTTTGCCCCGGTTAAAACTGCAAAAACAAAACTGAGGGTTGGTTTTGATTTCTTAGTGATGGAATCACTGAAATGTGTTGGGACTGTGGGCTCAGGGTGGAATATTCCCCCAGAAGGGCAGTGCAGGATATGGCTGTCACCTTAACAACATCCCAGGAGCACAGCTGTTGATAAAGGCATCATGAAAAACTCTACCCAATTAGTAAGTTTAAAAAGAGGTTTTTTCCTTCATTCAGAGGAGAAAAAAAAGGAATTAGGTTTCTCAAAGAATCCCCTGTAAATAGCAGGCTTTCTGTTTAGCAAAGAAGCATCTTGCAGACACTTCCTCCTGTCCCTGCCTTATCTCCAGCCTTATCTCACTTCCCTGCTGTTCACCAAGCACAGATTTTGGGTTCTCTGGTGAAATGCAATGGATGCAGTCCCTCCTGCCCTTACACCCACCTGCTGAGGTGCCTGATGGCAAAGTGACTCAGTCAGGAAAAGAGGGTTAAACGGGGTTATTGACATTGTTCTTCCCCAGCCCCACAGGAAACACTTCTGTTTCACATCTTGATTTTTCTGCAGAATGTCTGAATTCCATCCCGAGGTCCTGGGGCGGAAATGGGGGTGGAAATGGGGACGGAAATGGGGACGGAAATGGGGGTGGAAATGGGGATGGAAACGGAGGTGGAAGTTGGGGTGCCCAGAGCAGCAGGGGATGGGATTTAAGGTCCTTTTCAACCCAAACCTCTCTGGGATCCCACAACTGTGACAATTCACTGCAGCAGTGTCCTTGCAGGACAGGGGCAGAGCAGAGGAGGTTGTGGTGAGGAATGTCGCAGCTTTAGGAATATTTGCCAAAGGAAGGTGGTCAGAAAGAACTGAGAACTGCCGATGTGCAGTTGTGACCATGTTGCTCACCGAGCTTTCTGCTCCTGCTTTCACTGGCAGTTTGCAGTAAAATCCACGAAGTTAAGATGTGAATTGCTGCCCTTGCCGGGGTGGCTCAGAGGCAGGGCAGGGCTGGCTGATGTCCCCGTGGGATCCAGTGAATTCCTCCCTGAGGGGTGCCTGGGGTCTGGCTCCCTGCTCCCCCTTCTCCTTCCCCTGCAGTCTCTGTCAGGCCGTGCCTGGTGGAATTGGAGGTGTTTGTTATTCTGCTGCCCGGGCTTCTCCAGATGTTTAGCTACAGGGTAGCTGAGCTGCACAGCCCCCGCAGCTGCTGGAGAGGGAGATGCAGCATCTGTGCCTTGTCTGGGGAGCCGCAGCTCAGTCCCTGACAGTGCCCCCGACTCGCAAGGAGCTTTTGCATTTCAGTCAAACCGACTTCAGAGCACACCTAAGATTTATTCCTGCCTTTCAAATTGACTTCCAGAGCCTGTGCTGATGGAAATTGCTGAGCCTCTCCTGAGCAGAGCTGTTTGCAGGGAAAGGGAGGTGGATCAGGGCAGAGAAAGGGGCTTTATATCAGCCCAGGTGTGCCTGGCCCCTGGGGTGCTTCAGTGCAGCTAAAACATTTATTTACTTCACAGAACAAAGTTTTTTATTATTTGTATTTTGTAGGCTTTTCCCCCCTAGAATTATCACAAGATGCATCTTGGTGAACTTGAGAGATTACCATGCTTTTAGCATTTTAATTGGAAAAAAATGTTATTCAGCATTTTAGGGTTTTTTAAAGCATGCTTGTTTTTGTTAAGGTGTCAGTTTTAGTTTATACATTTATTTTTAGTCTAGCAGAGTGACAGAGGAAGTCAGTATTTTTTCCCTGCTAAAATGGCACTGGCACAATCACTTATCACAACCCCAGCTGCTCTCTGCACCCTCCTGGTTCCACCTGTGATGTTCAGAGGAATTCCTGCCTCCCTGTGCCCTCCAAAGCTCTGCCAGCATTATTCAAACATTTGGAAGATGGGTTCTGATGAACGCTGAACGCTCTCCAAACCTTTCCCAGAATATCTCCGATAAATGAAAGAGCCTGCTCCATAAATATTTGGTGTGAAAGGAGGTGATGTGGGGAGTGCAGAGCTCAGGGGGATGATTTCTGTGCCCAGGTGATGTGGGGAGCGCAGAGTTTGGGGAATGATTTCTGTGCCCATGGAGGGAGTGCAGAGCCCAGGGGATGATTTCTGTGCCCATGGATGCTGTGGGGAGTGCAGAGCCCAGGGGATGATTTCTGTGCCCATGGATGCTGTGGGGAGTGCAGAGCTCAGGGAATGATTTCTGTGCCCATGGATGCTCTGGAAACATCCCTGGGGGCCCTGGGAACACACACAGCCCAGCTCAGGATCATGGGCCCTTATGGAGCCTGGGAAATGATTTAAAATCTCTTCCCTGCCCATGCCTGGTATATCCTCTCCCCCATAGCTCTGCTGGGCTCTCCCCTGGCACCCCAAAGCCATCCCAAAGCTGTCCCAGTGTCCTTAAATCCTAGAGAAACTCCTTCTGGATTCCTAAAATTCCTAAAACTGGAATTCCTAAAATTGTGAATTAGGAATTCCACTTCCAATTAGGAATCTTTAAACTGTGCCCCATTTCTCAGCGTGTCTGCACAATCATCACCTTTTCTCTGCTCTTTTGCCTGGCATCAGCAGCCCCTAGGCTGACCCACCCCAGGCACACAAAGCTCTTTTTCCCCAGCAGGAAACAGGAGCCCCTTTCCCCTCCAAAGGCAGAGAGCCCTTTCCAGCCTCTCCTAAATAGGTATCAATACCTGGCTGTTACAAACAGGGGGAATTAGGCTCGGTAGCATTTTGCTATTTGAATGACCTACTCAGTGGAATTACAGCAGCAAACTAATCCTTTAGGAGAGATGGCTCTATCAATCTTGGGATTTTTCTAATGTGGAAGCTACTCAATTGCATCTCAGAAATCAGGGAGGTAATTACTCATGCAGACAGCACAAAATGAAAAAAAAAAAGGCAAGTTCTGCTGAGTATCCCTTTTAGAAGAAGCAGTGGAACAAGGAAAACAGCCTCTATAATCAGTCAAATTCTTCCACTAATTTTTCAGGTGTTGAAGGCTATGCTGAGGATACATGCCATGAAAGTTAACAAAGCAAAGTGGCTTTAATAGAGAGTTTCACAAGAGAAAAATGCCTCTTATTAGGCAAAGCTACTATTTGAGATGTAGTTCCCCTTGTTACAAGTTCATTGTTTAAAGCAGCCGTGGTGGGAGATGGATGCATCCCCAGATGCCGCGGGAGGCTGCGGTGACAGGGCCCAGCTGTGCCCTCACAGCACCAGGGCAGGGCAGGGGCTGGTGTGGTGGCAGTGCCAGCAGCCTGCACTGGGGCTGGCAGGGGCAAAATGGGGCTGTGCTGGAGCTCAGGGCATCCCCCTGGCTGTGCTGGACTGCCCAAACCCTGCCAGGGGCACACAGACCCTGCACAGAGCCCAGGACGCTGTGACTTTGATTGTGACCCATGGAGCACATTACCAAACCTGTATGAAGATCTGCAGGCCACAAAAGCATAGGTAGAATGACAGTGAACTTATCATGGGATAAAAAATAGATTTTTAGGGTTTTTAAAATGGGGGTTCAGGAGGCAAGATGGAGGATTTTTCCTCCTGAGAAGCTGGGAGGCCTCAGGAANTGTATTTGCACAGGCACAGAGTAGCAGCATTGCCAAGTCAGGTGTGAAACCCACTGTGGGATCACAAATGTGCAGGATAAAATAACAATAAATATCATATATTATATATCATATATTATATATTATATACTATATACTATATATAATATAATATAATATAATATAATATATATTATATAAAATATATAATATAAAACATCTAATATAAATATATACTATATAAGATGTATTATATACTATATACTAGATACTATGGTATATATTATATATAATATGTAATGTGTA